ACAATGGTATCAATGCAGCCATCTTTACGGGAATGCTGGGATTGAGCAACCGCGGGGGTGCTTCCAGATGGAAAAGAAGTCTGGATCATGATCCGATTGAGTCAGTTGTAAGCATTTACCAAGCATGCTTTTAACAAATTATACTACACGCACACAGAGATGTACCGCAAATTTAAGAAAAATTAGAAATCAATTGTTCATAAGTAGAAATTTTGGATAAGTTATATATAATTACTGTCATGCTTCTAAATTCTTATCATTTGTGACCTTATAAGAACGACAGTAGTAACTAAAACAGTAAGTACAAAATCACTAAAAAATTCATTCACTAAGATCAGATTCCATCATATCAGTCACAACATCAAATCGATATCTTATACATAAAAATATTGTAACAAAATAAGTCAAAAACTAGAAATAAAAGGAAATCAACCATAAATCACCACTTATTCTGAGAAATATCGACAAAAACACTACTAAATTAAATAAAAAACCTCTTTAAGTGAGAATACAAAAATACGGGCATAAAGATGAAAAAATGTATATACCTTGAAGTAATAGGTGAAGTTAGGATCATCACAACCACCTTGAGGCTGAAGGTCAGTGAGATTCTCGAGTTCTGCGGCGATCATCAACATGTAGTTCACCATTTTTTCTCCAGAACCAGCTTCAAATTCACGCTTCTCAGTCTCACAGCGTGCGTGCGTGCGTGCGAAAGAGATCTGTGGGTGTTGCAGGGGCTCACGCTTTCTTTTCTCTACTGCGGTCAAATGTGCAGTGCGAAGTAATCGCACTATGTAGCAGATAAATCGTGGTAGCCTGTTTGTACCTCAATTTTTTAAAAAATCATTTTCAATCACATATTTTTTAATAAAATAATATTACACACAAATATAAAATATTTCCTTAATTTTTAATGACACATTCTCCATCAATCTACTATTCAAAACTACATTCTTTCTCAAGAATGGGACTCAAACAGGAGTTAAGATATTTCCATTGGGTGGTATTTGAATTGATGGCTTGTAATTTAATTATTTACGGTGTTTCCTCAACTTATTTAGAGGCGTCTTCTACTAAAATTTTGATAGATTTTAAAATTTATTTTAAATTCACGTGTTTCTAGTTGAANCGAGTTCTGCGGCGATCATCAACATGTAGTTCACCATTTTTTCTCCAGAACCAGCTTCAAATTCACGCTTCTCAGTCTCACAGTGTGCGTGCGTGCGAGCGAAAGAGATCTGTGGGTGTTGCAGGGGCTCACGCTTTTCTTTTCTCTACTGCGGTCAAATGTGCAGTGCGAAGTAATCGCATTATGTAGCAGATATATCGTGGTAGCCTGTTTGTACCTCAATTTTTTTAAAAATCATTTTCAATCACACATTTTTTAATAAAATAATATTACACACAAATCTAAAATCTTTTCTTAATTTTTAATGACACATTCTCCATCAATCTACTATTCAAAAATACATTCTTTCTCTAGAATGGGACTCAAACAGGAGTTAAGATATTTCCATTGGGTGGTATTTGAATTGATGGCTTGTAATTTAATTATTTACGGTGTATCCTCAACTTATTTAGAGGCGTCTTCTACTAAAATTTTGATAGATTTTAAAATTTATTTTAAATTCACGTGTTTCTAGTTGAAATTTTAATGAATTTCAATTAAATATTTTAAAATCTAGATATCCTCCACAATTCATTAATTTATACAGATTTCATTAATAGATGGATTTCAAGTTTTAAAAAAAACTTTTTTGAAATTTCACCATTTTTTAGTGAGATTCTTATGATTTCCGTACTTCTCATAATGGTATTGTCAAAAGCTCGAGCAAATTGTGGCATGATATCCACATTTCTTGACACAAGCAGTTACAACCCAATTCATGGCTCGGTAGATGCAACATATCGAGCCCGGGATCTGAACGGACACCTTGAAACTCATTTCCGATGTGACGTTCATGAGGCATGGTGTACTATTCGCTTATCTGTGATCACTAAAGCATTGTTATCGTAACTTGCTCTTGTTCTTTTGGATATTTCCTGTAGCAGTAGCGGAGGCATTGGCGCTTTGGGAGGGTCTTTAATTTGTGAAATAGGCAGGTTTAAAGATTGTTAATTCACAATCTGAACTTAACAATAAAGTTAGCCCTTAATGCACAAATTGTTTATGATATTGTTGTACTTCTTAGTGAGATAAGATGTGGATCTAGTTATTTTACACCTAGAATAGGAATAAAATAGACGTGTATCGATCGAAATTGGTCAATTGATTACTTTCTCAATATGCTAGAAGTGCTTGGCAATTAGTACATGTTTTCACTAATGATAATTTTCATCCAGAAAATCTGTTAGCGTGCTTCAATTAAGTGAAAATTATATGGTCTTCGATTTGAAGATGTGCGTTTTCAAATAGATAGATTAGCCTAAAAGTGATGAAAATGACCCAATGAAAACCAAGTGTCGATCAAGGGTTTACGAGATGGAGAAACACTAAGTGGGTTGGAGGAGCATTTAGAGTATACATACAGCAATGAACTACTGGAATGGACCATTTAGAGATGATGGGGGCATATTAAGGAATTGGAACATTGGCTTTTTATCCTGATGCAACACAGTGAGAGAATAGAGAGTACATACACGAATCTAATTGTTTTAGATCTTCTAGAAAAAGTACAAATAAACCATACAGTCATACAGAGTGGTGCAAAAAGACGTGTATTCATTTTCTGAGTTAGGAATTGAGGGCTTTATAAGAAATCATCAGTCCATGGTTTTATCACTGTTCTGTTTCCATAATTCAAATTGCGAATGAAATCTGAATGATTGGAAAGTAAGTCATGCAAGCTATGAGTTGTTTAGCGCTTCTATAATAGTCCATCTCTGCATGCCCTTTTTCCTGCACTCTTCGTGGAAAATATACTTGCACAACACATTTCAACTCAGAGCCAAAATCACCATTTCTCATTTCTATGAAAATCAGATTCTTGAACTTGCTTTTTTCATCTCTTTTGATACAATTATGGGATTTAAATGGATGTTTGTTCTATTACTAGAAATTATTTCTACGTCTGTCAGCAGCAGATTTGTAGAGAATGAATATAGCAAAGAAAACTTTCAGGAAAGCCATGCAATTAGAAGCATTCAGGTATGCCTTCATCACCTACATCCCCATTCTCTTTCGTCGCTAGACAGAAAAATTGACTATTAAATCAATCGACAGAATAAGTAGATAGTATTCGTCGTCAGTCTTATCTGAATCAAGTTCCATCACGTACATTTGCTTAACACGAGGTATCATCGATTGCATAAAATATTTTCATTTCGTGTTGTCAGAGTGAAGATGGAGATATTATTGACTGCATCCATATCTACAAGCAGCCGTCTTTGGATCATCCCTCTTTAAGGAATCATAAAATCCAGGTCTGTATACATTTCTAATGTGATCATGATTCAAATTATGTGATATTTTCAAGATGACAAACGGAAAAAATAAAAATTCACACAGTTGGCCCCCAGCTATGATCTAACAAAAAAGACGAAGAAATCGTTTACTGAAAGAAATAGGGACTCTTCCGAGACTGTGACCACACAGTTGTGGCAGAGAAGTGGAAGTTGTCCTGAGGGGACAATTCCCATTCGGAGGATAGAAGAGAATAATGGTACGAAAGGAGATGTAGTTGAGAAGTATGGGAGAAAAAAGCTGGCTTCCTTCCATGACAACGAGAAGAAGCAATTAAATGAAAGCAAAATGCTAAATCTTCTGCAGCGAAACCATTCAGTATGTACATTCCCTTCTGATGCTAGTGATCTATTTCTTCCTAGAATTCCATCTTAACTTTTTGTCGTGTGAATAGGTCGCAATCTTGCTTACATTGGGATTTGCGTACTTGGGCGCCAAAGGAGATATCAAAGTCTGGACCCCGCAAGTTGAATTAGATGATGAATATAGTACTTCTCGGGTAGATCTGAGGAGTGGCCCTCGGTTGGACTATGATGCAATTGAATCTGGATGGGCAGTGAGTATAATCACTCAAATAGTTTAGGTCTAAAAAAAGACAATCATTGGTTTTTCATTGTACATTAGCAAAAAATAGAGCTATGCTGATAATAGTAATGTCTTTATATATTGGGATTATTCATGTATGAAGCACAAAAACGACGACATTACAGGTAAATCCCAGTGTTTATGGAGACAGGCAAACTCGACTATATGTTTATTGGACTGTAAGTTTCTTAATTATTCTCCATTTCGCGTCACGTCACCAAATATTCCATAAACTTTTTATAAGTTGCTTTGCACACAAAATCATGTTTCACCACATTATGTCATGTTCATATCAGGCTGACGGATCGAAGAGAACAGGTTGTTTTGACCTCACTTGTCCCGGTTTCATTCAAACCAGCAACCAGATAGCGCTTGGTGCTGCCATCTATCCTATCTCAAATCCTACAGGACTTCCATATCAGATAACTGTTTATATCTACAAAGTAAGAAAATCTAAAATGTTGTTCTACAATTTACCATTTCATAGCCAATATCAATCAAATATGATCCCGGTTTGGTTCAGTTAAAAAAGTTGATAAAATATTAAGTGAAGGTCAATAAGTAATTTTAATTACACTTTTCATGGAGCCATAACTTTTATCAAATTTTCAACCATACATTTCATCAAAACTATCAAAATCAACAAGAATCTGATTTTTAACTAAACCAAACAGAGGCTTAGTGAAGTTTCATGTCATGTAACATCTTAAATGAGTACCTTTTCTTCTATCGGACCCAAACACAAGCAACTGGTGGGTGCAATATGGGGAGAGAATCAACATAGGATACTGGCCATCTGATCTCTTTGGTATGCTAAGAGCTCAAGCTGAAACTGTTCAATGGGGCGGCGAAGTTTATAGCTCCAGGGTAGGTTAACATTCTCGTCTAAAAACTTGAAACACATGAATACATTTAAAGCCTATTCATGCACATTTTTTAAGGAATGGACGGTCGAGAGACTATATGTATTCATTTGAATCTTGTCTTCGAACAGGTAGGAACTCATCCGCACACGGCTACCGGTATGGGCAGTGGTCGATTTTCCGATTATATAATGCAAAGTTCGGGCTACATCAAGAGAATGAGGGTACTTGGAAATAATATGGAATTGAAGTTTCCGCAATGGATTAATATTTATACGGATGAGTATAATTGTTATGATACTTATTACTTTACTGACTATGTTGAAGAACCAGAATTCTACTATGGAGGCCCCGGTAGAAACTACAAGTGTCCTTGAAAAGTATGTTAATTTTTGCAAAACGGCATTCAATTTGTATGCCTCTCTTATTGAATTATATTGTTGACACCGGTAGAAAGTAGAAACACAATTCGCAATTGACTAGTCTAGACATAAAATAACGTAAAATGTGATTAGATGGCAAGACCAAACTTCGCGTCTAGACGATGCTTAGGCAAACTTTTTGAAGCATTGGTTTATAGTTTTTGTAAAACTACTATAGAAAGTCAATATTATTAGAGTTTTAAGAATTCTCATTACGTTTGCGATCAAATTATTTTTTCTTCAAAAGCTTAATTTCTGCATCACATGCTTGCTTTTTCCATCTAGCCGACTGTAGTAGCTGGAGATCGATTTCCATTTTATGCAGTGCCATGTTAGCGTGGTGCCTTTTTATCGCGCCAATGCTGTCCCAGTCTCTTCCTTCCATTTAGTGTAGTTTAAAAAGTATATAAGGATATAACTAAACAATTAATTTTAAACAAAAATTTCATAAAATCCACAACTTTTATAAACTTTTTACTCACAATTTCAGTAACTTCTATTAAAATTTACTAGAAATTTAATTTGTAACTACACCAAACAAGAGCGCTTAAAAAAAATTGTCGAATTGTATAAAATAATTTAATCTACAAGAATAATACACTCAGTGAAATAGTTATTTGGAACAAGTTGATGCTATAAAATTGGTCTTTTAATATTTCAAGTAGCTCCTCCCTTAACCGAACATATCCATGCTTGCAATAAAAGTTAGAATACGTAAAATGAGATAATATAAACATATGACTCTTGATTATGCCTTGGCCTTGCTTACCTGTCACAAATAGATCACCTACTCTTTTCGAGTTAATTGTTCCAATGTTCACTGAATTTAGGTCCATGTTTTTTATTGATCACTAAAATTTAAAATGTCGAATTTTAGTCATTGAATTTAAATTCATATTTTCAATTGCTTACTAAAGTTTATAATTTACCATTCATGAATTTATTTTATAGTTCAAACACATTTTATGGCCCCGTTTGCTAGTCATTTTTTTCAAAATGTATTTTTCTCTCTCTTCTTTTCAATCACACATTCTTTATTAAAATAATATTACACATAAATAAATAACTTTTCCTTATTTCTCAACCACACATTTCGCATCAATTTACTATTCTAAAATACATTTTTACATAAAAATGCCTATCAAATACCCACTATAAAATTTATAATTTACATACTACATTCATCCTATAAAGATAAACTTATTTATATTTTCAACAGATTTGAAAAATATAATTAATATAGTTGAAAATATAAATTTTTTTTTTAGATTTTTCCTAATATACTCCTACATTAAATAATGGTTTAAATAAGATTAGCGGATACTTGTTGATTACAAGATACATTAAATAGGAATATATCAAAAATTAAAAAACATATATATTTTTATTAGAAAAAGAATAATGTTATTTAGCTTCACCAATGCCAATTTGTTTGGTGTTAGATGATAGACTAAATGAAAAATGTCACATAAATTGAGGTTATAATTTTAGAGGTGCTAAATAGCATTGCTCTTATTAAAAATGAAGTAAATAAATCTTTTATAGGATGGAGAGAATATTTTATGAGACTGCTTAAAAATATTAGCAACCAAAAAAGCAAGACAATTACTTGCCTATATACTGGGAAACAGAGATGATAGAAGAAAAAATCACAAGAAAAGCAAAGTTTATGGGTAAAGTACGCCCATTTGAAACATCAACTCTGCACAAATAAGAAGCAAAAGGCAGAAGGAAGAGAATTTGAAGGAGTTTGTGGCTTACCAAGATTCATTAGTGAAAACAATCTCAAATTCGTCTTCAACAAATTAGAACGGAGATCTGCGGAAGTGAAGGGATGATCCTGCGAATAGCATCGTCAGTTTGAAGACTGATTGTAGAATACAGTCGGAGCTCAGTGCCGGGTCGCAACCTGCTGGTACTGTGCATAGTAATGTTGTTACGAAGAAGCATGGTATCGACATAGTGAAAGGAAATTCTTCTATTCCAATGAAGGATTTTCCATCCGAAGAGCAGGATATCAGTAATGACGCAGAGACTAGTATAGACGGGGGTGGCATCTACATACGATGTATCACCTGATGACGCGATCTTTCACATGGGGCTGGCCTCCGACTCCAAGACACTGGGATGCTCCAGTCGTTAATCCCAGAGTCCATCATTTACGGCTAGGACTACTGGGGTATATAATCCCATTCGCTCCCTGCTTGCCTTCGGGTTAGTTAAGAGTTCTTGCTTCCTCCTTTACTACTTTGCTACCTTGCTATTCTTAATTTCCTGGTGTGGATATTGGCAGAAATTTATTGAAACTTTAGAAACTTCTTTCTGGGAGGTTTGTTTTCTGAAGAGCAACACTCTGCATTTTGTAGGAGTAATAGGTCAGAAACATTTTTGGAAAGCCAGGAGGGCCATTGTTAAGTAAGTTCCAATATTCATTAATTTATCTTCTAAGCTTGACTTATATGGAGGATTTGGACTAGTTTCTACGAGACAAAAAAAGAGATAACAGAGAAATTGTATTGCATAAAATTGATTAGTAGTTGTGTGGTACTTTGAAGGTGTAAGAACATGTTTACTTGAGAAGTCATGCACAAACGTACTAAAATTCAATCACTTGTGATGAGAAATAACTGGTTCTTCAATTGGTTATAAATGTGTTAACATTTGCTGATACTTGTAATGATGATGTACTGATGTTACGTAAAAGTTGAGTTAAATTTTTTTTTTCAATGTGTGTCCATAAAAAGGAAAAATCTGAGACACTAAGTTCTGGAGTGAGTCGGGAGCAGGAAAAACTAAAAGCTTGAATAATGTGTGTGGCCTTTTTCTCCCTCGGGATAGGAACTCTTGCATTTGCTTTGGTTGCTGGCTAACATATAGCTTTGCAGTTTCTGCAGAAATAACTGCTTAATTGCATCTTATAAGGAAAATTTTGAACTCTTGTTTTGCATCTTATCAGAGTATAATTATGCCAGTTCTTATTTGACAATTTTATTAATTCAAACATGTTGATTCAAGTTCAGATAGTGCCTAGACAGGTGGAGGATATTTTCTCTCACGTTTTTTTCTACTTCAGATACCACAATTTGATTGCAGGCAGAGGGATTGAATTATTTTCCTTCTAAGAATATGGTATATATTATTATAGAGTATGTTTGGTAGGGGTGTTTGGATAGTACCAAACATTATTAAGGAAGAAAAAGAAGCTAAATTTTGTTGATTATTGTGTCCAGTGCCAAACACTTAATGTGTTTGATTGTGCACAACGCCTCATCGTCGGCTTTTATAAAGATTTGCTGCATGTCTTTGACCCTATCTTTCTTACTCTTTACGGTCAACAAAAAGATTTTGCAGTTCAAGTATTTGAGTTGCATAGATTGGTAAAGGTGAGGGCAGTTGATCACCTTCTAGCATTACCGGGATGGAATGCAATCTCTTAATTTTTATTTGCTTATACTTATTACTAAATTGCTGTGTGCAATTTTCTATTTCGTAACAGGTTCAGAGATCGATTGCCGGTTCTCCGCTTCTATTGCTTGAGGATGCTGCTTATTTGGGCAAACCTGTAAAGGCCTGCAAAGAAACTCCCACTGGACTATAACGTTGAAGTGCCTCTGAATGTTTTCAAGCGCAAAAGGGTCTCGGATAAGCCTAGCCATTCAACAGAATTCTCTGCTGAGAATACTGTGGAGAAGGAATCTCTTTCTTCTGTGCAATAGTGTACCACTATTTTCAGGAAACCCTCCTGCACCATCAGTAAGTGGTGCCAACAATTTTGGACCGTGGTGTTTTAATCAACCTGTTGGGCTGTGATGCTCAATGGCCTTTTTACGGGCTGTGATGACAAAAATGGGCTAAAGCCCAAAGTACTGGTTTTACAAATTACTAGGCTGTTGCCCAATAACTTGACCCGATCCACCCTGGCGCAAAATAGGTTTAAAAGCGTGTTTCTATGGCGTGGCATTTTTTAACGCAGCCAGAAACACACTTTCTTCAGTTTCTCTTGGGAGCCCCTGACCGTTGGATGAAACTTTGATCAATGGCTGCCTCTTGTGGGTATAAATAAATCCACCCCTTGCCTTAATCAGTTGGAACGTCATTTTTCTTTTTCTTGAGCAGCTGCCTGAGATTTCGAGATCCTTCCAAAACCCTTCTTCTTCTTTGTGAACATCCAATCTCTGATTGGATTCGTTTTCTGAGTGAAACTTCTGTGTGAAACCAAATACTAAGAGATTGGTAAGGGTTTGGTGTGTGATTTTACCCTTGTGGTTTTCTTTAAGCTGATAGAGGAAAACCTTAGGGTTGGGGGGATCGAGTGGGTCAAACAGACGGGTACAATCCTGTGATTTTTCATGAGTCTGAGCCCTAAACTAAAAGGATCTCCATCTGATGCCTTTTGGTTTTGAGTTTTCTACGAGTTGCAGAACAAATTATGGATTTAGAATATTTTCTTGTAACTCATTCTTGATTGTTTTATATTTTTGTACTTACATCTTTGTGTAACAGTAGTATCAGAGCCTTCGGTTGGCTTGTGTGGGTGAATCGAACCACGTTCTTGCAAGATACTGTAGATCTGTGACTGGAGTAGTGTGATCTTGAGTATTGTGGACTGTCGGCTTCGTGAAATCTGTGGTGGTCAAGTGAAACGACCACCACTGTGGTTTAATTCTTTGAACCCCAAAAAATTTTTTTTTACTATCTGATCTTTTTTTTCTTTTGTTTCATGCCCAAGTTGACTAATAATGCTTTCCTAATTGATTTTGCATTTGGAACTGTGTGATTAGTGATAATCTGCCTATACTTGTCTATTAATCAGTATTGAAATATACTTGTAAATTTTGTCTCTGATTCTTGTTATACTGAAATACTATAACAACACTTGTGATTGTCTTTGTTCTCGGTTTTTGTATTAATACCTCTCAAATCTTTCTTTAACAAAAAAAAAAAAAAAAAAACCTCTACCCTTCACCCAAGCCTTGACCTGAGATCTTGAGTCTCACGGAATCCTGGTAGGGTTGGGTAGTTGATCCTTAAGCTTTGTACTGGACATAGTGTGTATGTTAAAATTGTTATTTCCGCACTTACACATATTTTGCTGTCTTGCCTGTAATAGTAAAAAATCTTTGCCTCTTATCTGCCTGTTGTGATCAAAACAGTTTTTTCTAAGTGTTACGTATTTGATCTATAAAATGACCACCACTAGCTTTGAACTTGGGGTCTTTAATGGGA